GACTCGTAAGGAGATGGTGGAAACTAATGCTGCTGGGAAAGTTTGTTTTGTTAAGAGTGTTGTGCAACCCTCTGAAATATCTTAATGAAATTCAGAATAAAAATAATTCTTGGTTGAATGCATAGGTTGGACCACACATAATATTGGACACATTTTTTCTTTCTGGTCCAAAAAAGGAAAGATGATTTCCTTTAGCTGATCAGATGACAAAATTAAGAAATACCAGAAATCAATAATGTCATCTTAACTGGCCTGTTTTTAAAAGGTAATTTAGAAAAAAAGAAGGAAAAAGTCTTTTCTGTATTAAAAGCTTAAAATAATAGAGTGCCTTTGATCATTAAAATATATTTAATACAAATACATGAGATGGTAAAAATACAGACCAATTGTCAATAATCCAGGTGTAAGAAAAGGCCTCCGAGGCTGGTATTGAAAGAGCTTTCTGCCGTGGCTGGTGTAGCTCAGTGGATTAAACATGGGCCTGTGAAGCAAAGGGTCACTGGTTCAATTCCCAGTCAGGCACATGCCTGGGTTGCAGGCCCGGTCCCCAGTAGGGGACACAAGAGAGGCAACCACACATTGATGTTTCTCTCCCACTCTTTCTCCTTCCCTTCCCCTCTCTCTAAAAAGAAATAAATAAAATTTATTAAAAAAAAAAAAAAAAGAGTGTCCTCTTGCCAAAGTTGTGTAAGTTAGCATGGTGGATCTTACGAACACAAGGCCAGAGCCTGCACTGAGGGTCAGAACTGCACTGAGAAATAATGGCACAGTCAATACCCATAAAACGTTTTCAATACGGACTTTTGTGCAAGAGCTGACAGTAATAATGGTCCTAAGCTATGTGGGGTGGTCTGTTCCCTGGAATTAATTGCTCCCCTGATACTTGCCTCTTACAACAGAGTACCACTCAGGACACTTTCATAAATGAGGAAATCAGCTCTTTGGTGCTCTAGAAGCATGAATTCCTCTTCCTGGGAAGATCAATTTACCCACAAGAACTGTATTCACATTTCCTTCCTGTGGACTTAGAAAACAAAAAAGTATAGAATTATAGGCTTTTCTTAGCTGGCCCCTGTTTTTCCCAAACTGCTTCACATTTCTGGTTTATGTGTGAGGGCTGGGCCTGTGCAGCGGGGTGGCTGTGCCAAAGACCAGAGGCCGCTCCCTTTCTGCAAACCCATGGTAAGAGTCTTCACTAGACTTGCAGGTGAATTTTTTTAATTCAAATATATTTATTAAATATTTGGAACTATTTCGCATAAATACAATTTCTCAATATGAGTAGAAAAAAGGGGAAGGGAACCATGTATGTTACAGGGATTTTTGTATTAAGATTATTTCATTCAAATGAGATTTGCTCAAAAAAATATTTGCAAGGAAACTTATTTAATATGACTGAAAATCGCAAGGGGTCAATTTTCATTCCAGTCTTGTGCTATAATAATACTGTAGATTTCCATTATGCCATAAAGAAGCATCTTGATGTTATAAAAGATAAAATGTTTTTTGTGCAATGTATAACTTTGATCTGCATTTTATAAAAAAAATACCTTTGAGCCAGATTCTAATATAATTTTGCAGGAAAATTCCTATTGAGGCTGTCTGATGCCAATATAATTTGAAAGCAATTAAAGTTTAACAAAGGAGTTGTGCCGTAGAGTTATTCTGGAAATGAATCAGGCCCAAAGGAAATGAAACAAGCATATTCAGGTCTTTGGAACAGCTCTAAGAAAGTTCTTAAGTTCTACCAACTCACAAAAACTCTAGTGTTCCAGTTGGAGAGTAAAAGCATTACAAGGCAGCAATTTATGCAGTTTTGCCTAAGTTTCAGACATTGAAAAGTTTCTTAAAACTCAATAGCATCATTCCCAAATGGGTATGCATTCCTGTACAGCTCAAAGTATAAAACTTCTAGTATGCCTTATTAAAATGTAATCTAAGTCTGCCATGACACACAATTTCCAATTTAACGTCCTTTCTTCTGTATTGTTTCTATCTTCCTTTAAAAACGCCTGTAGGGTCTTGCCACCTCATTATCTCAGCGAGAGCCGGTTAAGAGTTTCATACCAGAAGCAGTGCAGGAAACAACTCTAAACAAAAGAAGGAAACATAGAAAAAAAGGAAAGAATGTTTCCTGTGTACATAGCTTTAAGGGCTGCACTACATCATCAGTGTATAATGCCTCTTCTTTTTCATTATTCTCTATACCATGACCCAAGATAATATTCTGCAATAAATTAATAGAGGCTGCTTTAGTCAATATTTGCTCTATTAATATTGTCCAGTAGAAGTGGGTAGATGCTAAGGAAAATGAGGTTTTCTGGATGTCTATTTGAGCACTTGCCATCTTGGAGTTAGTTAAGTTAACAGAGTTAAGATCTGAAAAGCATTAATCAGCACATACTAATTAACTGTTTTAATTAATTAATTAGAGAAATAAAATGATGAAATTGAAGTGCAAAGTTACTCAATAAGTTAATGACTGATATGTCAACTTCATTTTCATTATAAGAAACTTTAAATTATAAAATAGCATGAGTCTACCCTTAATTAAAATGTTGATATTTAAAACAAAATTTCGAAAAATGTGCTTATTCAAGTGAAAATTTCGAAAGAAAATTGATAGCCTGAAATTTTGAGTAACATTCTCCCTAAATGATAAAGTTACATCTAGAATGTCACCACGAAGAGCCCCACAGACCTGCTGCCCCCAGCAAAACAACCATAAATGGTAAAATAAAAAGAAATATAAAGTGTCTGGAAATTCTCCTAAGAACATACAGCAAGTGGAGAAACAATTACTGAAGAAAATCTTCTGAATTTCAGTAAGAATAATGTTCAGATTCTGAGCCTGAAACCCAACCTTCTCTTCCCCTCCCCCAGCTTGGCATGATGAAATCTCCACTCTAGGTGGGTATGGCCAAGAAAATGGGGCTTTTTTACCTAGGCCCCCAATCAAGGAATACTAAAAAGGCTACAGAGGCTGAATCCTGGGGACAACTAAGAGGTCAAGGGACTCTTCTTCCACCCAGCCCCGCTCAGAGAGCAGAGGTTCTGCCGAGCACACATGGAGTGCTCTCCTAGATAAACCTATGCTCGGCTGTAAAACAAGACAACAAATTGAAAAGGACTGAAATCGTGCAAAGTACACCCTCTGACCACAGTGCAAGGAAACTCTACATCAATAATAGAAATCTGGGAATTCATGAATATGTGGAAATTAAGCAACACATGCCTAAAGAGCCATTGGGTCAAAGAAGAAATCACAAGGCAAGTTAGAAAATATTTTGAGTCAAATGAAAACAAGAATATAATGTACCAAAATTTATAGGATGCAGCTAAAGCAATGTTTAGAGAAAAATTCATAACAGTAAATGGCTGTATTAAAAATGATCTCAAACCAAAAGCCTAACCTCTCACCTTTAGATACTCAAAAAGGACAAATTAACCCCAAGCAAGTGGAAGGAAGGAAGTAAATAAGATTAGAGCAGAACTTAACTGAAATAGAGAATAGAAACACAATAGAGAAAACCAGCAAAGTCAGATGTTGGTTCTCTAAAAGGATAAACAATATTGGCAAGCTTTCAGCTAAACTTACCAATGAAAAAACAGAAGACAAATTATCTTAACTGACAATGCTGCTGAGAACAATACAACTTTACACACGATTGGGCGCATTAATTACCATGAATCAGAGGTGATTTTGGATGTGTAAGTGATGTGGGAAAACACCTCCATTTGTCGTCTTTTCTTCCTTTGTTGCTGTGGAGAGCAGGACTGAACTAAGATGCTGTGGAGGGAAGCCGTGTTTAGAGCATGCGCAGGACAATGTGGTCAACACGTGCTTACCTGAAGGGTGACACCGCCCTCTCAGAGCCTGCGCAGTAGAGCAACATAAACCACATGTGCTTATTGAAGTTACATAAAACAGTATTTGTTCATCAGAAGCTGATACAACATTGCCTCACCTAAGAGTATATAAGCAGAGGACTTCAGACTTGGATGACGCATCCAGAGAGCGAATCACCTTGAGACGTCCTGCATGTTCTGGTGGAGAGAGATCTCTCCACCAGAGTCTGGTCCCTTTGACTCTGTCTTTGAAGACAGCGACCACCCAGCTGCCTCCCAGATCAGACCTTCTCTGGACTCTTGGGACTCGGGCTCATTATCCCCCAGTTCTCTCATGTGATATTTTTACTATTTCTGTTATTGCTCTTGCTCGATTGTTAGTGATTGAGATTGAACCCGCATCAATAAAAGCTGACTAAATAGCATAGTTACCTTTGTTGACCCATTGTTATACCTTGGCCTGGTGTTGTCTATAGGGCTGGTGGCCTCACGGGTGGCCAGGCGACTCTGGTCCATGAGGAAAGGCTAGAGGCTGACTTATGGGAAAGACTATAGCGTGATTACACATAAGGTTACAGTATCTCTCGGGACAGCTAGGTGAACAAAATCTACCCTAAGTTAAATTTCCGAACCTTTGAAAACCTGGCATTTATCCTTGACTCCCACCCACCCCCTGCCACACACACAGGACACTCCTACTTTAGGAGGCTTCTTCCGCCATTTCAGGGTCTCTTACAAACCTTTCACTTTTCTTCCCCAGGCCACCGTCAAAACAGAACAGATTTGATATCAGTTGTTTGTACTTTTGCTAATGGACAGATTACATTTTTGAATTCTTTCCTACAAAAGCATCACTACAAACAGCATTCATAGTACGACTCTGAGGTACCTAACTACAGAAAGTAGGGTTTTCCATATTAAAGAATGTTAAGCTTCCACAAGATCACACCAGTGGATACCAGACACTTAACCAAGTAGTTCACTTCAGTTTTTTGACTCAGAAAATATACAGCAAATAAATGTGATTCCTCTATTTAAAATAAATATATATACATGTATACACATTACAGAGGAAAAAGGAAAATATGGGAAATTCAATATGACCTTGAAAGTCATGTGAATTCATTTTTCTTATGTTTATTTTGTATTTTTAAGGGACAGATGGTTGGAGACTACAAGACATATCAAAAGTTAGGTCCAGGGACAGCCCTTGGCTGCTCAGGAGCAGAGAAGCCAGGTGCCTGTGAGCCATTTGGGTCCAGGGCCTGAACATGGGGTCAGCCCAAGGAGTAGGGCAGTGCCATTTGGCTTGTCCTTCATGAAAAGCTTCAGAGTTTTTTTGATGTGGACTGCAAATGAGGCTACACCTGCAGCCGGTGCTAAATGAGTGGTTTATCAGTTCTTTCAGATATCAATGTTTATATATGCCACAGTTTTTGTAACCATGCATTGTCATTTCTTCACGTCTGTACACATACAAGGAACACTGGAAGGAAGAATGCAGGGCTTGCCTCTGCCTCTCAGAGCTCTGCCTGACGCCGCCCTGATGTGGTCCAGGCAGCCAGGCACCCAGTCCTTCACGAGACTTTGCTGCCCCTCACTCTGCCAGAGCCCTCGCGATTTCTCTCCCAGCCCCAGGCTCCACCATGAACCTGCCACCCAGTTCTGATTTCAAGGACACTTGGTGTGATTTTTATCTGAATTTAATGTTGTCATTATTACAACCTCTACCCACCACCTCTAAAATTTCTCAGCACATGCCTGTTCCACCTTTATTATTTCTGTTGTAACTTAGATATTTTGCATCACGCAAATCCCTCCACATCGGGAGTATGTTATTGAAGTTAATAGTTTTACAACAGTAATTATAACAACAAATATTTATTAAGTAACTTGTTTTGCACCAGGCACTCTACTGTTTTACACACATTATCACATTCTGTCACACTTAACTGTATATAAGCATATGCTTGAATTTGTCAGTAGCGCTTAAAATTAATTAAAATAAAGATATTGTTGGTCATCTTGGAAAGAAACATCTCAATATACTGAAAACATGAAATCCACAGAACAAAATATTTTGAAGTCTTACAAAATGTACAATACTAAATTATTACAGGGATACCATTAAATTTATGTTGCTATCGTGTCCTAGAAACTGCAGCATCTAATATATCAAATAAATGATTACAATCATATCTTCAAATAAATCCTTTTACTAAGAAAGTAATATATAAAGTGAGTATTATGTTTTTGCATTAACTTCCCAACTGTTTTCCATAATAACAAACCAGCCAGGCATCAATTATGGTACAGGGGCTGAAAAATAACATGAGATACGATTTTTACTAATCCTTTACATTCCACTTTGAAGCTGTACGCTGTTCTTGATCAAAACTCTTATTTTATTATCAGGAATTACATTATTCTCCAAAGGAGTGAATTTTCTGCTGGAGACAGGAAATGAAGGACTGCTAATGCTGAAAATGTATTTTTCCTGTCTCGACATTACTACATGATATATATTCATATTAATAACAACTCTGAAACCTAGTTTCATTTCTTCTACATGTAAGCAATAAACAGTGTGTGCAAAACTATGAATACTACCAGCAGTGATGTGGATATATAATACAGAGTTTCTCCAGAATGTACAGCCATTTCCAATATTTCATTAGAGCATTGTACAGGCAACTGCCACTGATGTCCATCAGAGCTGGATTAGATGAAGAGAAACAATGCAGGCTTTCAGGAAAAGCCGGAGCTGCAGCTCAGAAGTATCCATTTCTCATCCAAGGGCACTATACGACCACTGTCTTCCTCCTTTATGCAAAAAGAATGAGTCGATTATGTTATTGACATTCCTCCCCAGCAGGCTGAAACATCTTTTTACAGTTCAATAAGAGATAGTAAAAACAAAAAGTTCATAAAAAAATAGAGAAATTTCAAAATATCTTCATGCTCAAGTTTGTCACCTCTGCAAATTTTCTACAGTCTACCATAATTTTAATTGGTGTGGCAGAATCTACTTATGCAAAATGTCATAGCAATAAGTATTTTATACCAAAATAAATAATGTGGGAACTATTTTCTAAACAAAAATTTACATATGATGTTTGATAATAAAATAAAGCTTTCAGCTACCACCATTAATTTTCTGTTTAATAATCACTGATGATAACAACTTGGGCACAAGGAAGGCCACTTCATCCTGGTCTCCAAATGACTTTACAATTCTATTAAGGAAATGGATAAATAACAAACAGAGAATAATACATGTATAAAAGAGTACTTTGTGAGAGCATGAGTTTCCCGTTGAGGAAAATGACATCTGCTTTTAGTTTAACAGCAGCCCCTCCTGTGGCCCAGGACGGGGGGGTGCTGAAACTGACACCTTCACACAGTGGCTAAAGGTAAACTGCTTTAATCTTCTGAACAACAAAAGACCTATTAAAATTTAGAATGGATATAGTTTTGACCTGGAATTATACTTCTAGGAGTTTATCATACAGAATAACCATGCAATCATACATAGACTTTGCATGTAAGGATATTCCCTGGTGCAAAAAAACTGGAGACAAGCCAAATGACTTCCTTCATAAATTATGGTACATTGGAGCATACTTTAAATGTGTCCATGTATGGTGTGGGGGGATGTGCCTGTAAATATGTACACACATGTCTACACATGTATGCATGTGTCCATGTTAATATATATCATTTCTGGGAAATATTAGAAAATATTTATAATGCTGGGATACATATATCCAGACTACATTGCAAAGAAGACAATCATGACCAAAGCTTTAAGAGTATGCCTCAAAGATATGATTTCAAATGTAAAACAGGACATTGTCTATGTATCTATTTGACAATTATAACCCTTGTGATGAGAAAACAGCCATTCTGAGTTGCTGCTTAAGCATTTCATGGCATGAAAACCCTGCTTACTCCTGCATCTGGACATTTAGACCAAAATTCAGAATTCCCACCACCAGTTTCTGCCTTGCTTTCCTGGGTCAGCTTTTAAAATGACCACTCAGAGCTGAGCCTGTGAAAAGATTAGTGACTGCCACCCCAACCTCCTTATGAGTGATAGATGCTTGCTACCCTGTTCTCTCCTGCTCCCTGGGACCTGGGACGAAGGACTGCCTTTCCCAAGGCTCACTGCACCCCCATTCTGGGATCTATAAATATAAATCTTGTGACTTTGTCTCCTTTGTGTGTGTATGTCCTTTGTGTAGGGGCCATTCAATCAAAATGGCCCCTAGGTTTTCACTTCCCGAAAGTGGGAGCTCAGATGCTCAGGGTGATACCTGCCCGGCCATGTGAGTGGCTTGTGCCTCCTCCACCAGGAGGTCATAATCTGCATATTCTTAACTAAGCACAGCCCAACAAATCATAAATCCAAGCGACTGATGTGAAACTGACTGACAATCAAAATTGTAAAGTCACACCATTGCAGAGCTACAATGAGCCTAAAGGTCATGATGTATGAATTTTCTGCAAAAGGAATATACCCTTGAACCCTATTTCCTCAAATGTTCCACATAACTCTAGAAGTAGCTTGGAAGAATGAATCCATGTTCAGAAAAATTATGTAAATGTTGGTTGAATGTAATAAAATATGGTTCTTTCATATAAAACCATCTCAAACTCTGTAACATGCTAACCTGCATTGTAAATCTCCAAAAGGAGAATATTATACACAGGATTTTTCAAATTTACATGGACAGTCGCCTCTGGATTTAACATCTTGGTGGCCCAATGCTCTGCACAACACACTTGGGAAAGGCTAGTCCAGAGGCAAATATTCCAAATTTATAAAACTCATAAAATCTCATTTTAAGAATATACCCAACTATTCTAAAATTAAACTACCATGGTCCAAAACATCAACTGAAGAAAATATAGGTAAGTAAATATCCCATCGCTCTAATCATACAAGGTCAGGTCTTAATCCGAAGCATTGAACACTGAACATATTCCACAGGGCAGCCGATGCTCCTGCTCCTCAGTGCTCCATTCATTTATGAAGCTCTGAGGGTTCCGTTTAGAGGGTTCTCCACAAGCGCTGAATAAATGCTAATTTCCCTGACGGTGGACTCTGCTGGTGAATTTAGGTGCTCACTCTACTGAAATCTCTCTCACAGAAGAAATCAAAGATAATAAATACCCCATGCTTGCTGAGCACTTCCTTCTCTATAGTTTTCAAACAAAGAAAATGCCACTTCTGAGAGTGATCTTGGTATTAGTTCCCCCTGAAGACAGACACTCGATCTTGTTCACAGCAGATACCGGATTACCTGGGAAAATGTTTCAATTGATCACAGCCTGGGGAATGGATTTGGAATCAGTAAGACCCAAGTTTAAATCCAAACTGTCACCAACTCGCTGTAAAATTTTAGACAATCTACCTGCTGCTTCTAAGCCTCACACAACAGCTCCTAACTTGTGGGGATTGTGTGAGAATGTGATGTGACAACAGATACAATGTGACAGCAGTGCCTCCAAGGCATATAACTGAACTCCTAGGGACAATTTCAGGTGATGGCGAGGCATCTCACTAAAACCAGAAGTGCACTGCTGGGGGGCCTATTGTTTTCCATAGCAGGTGTTGGAAACTTACTTTCCATCACTGCAGAGAAAGTGTTCATGGGTGAACACTGGTTCTCATCCGCACAGTGTTGCCAAGATCCAGCACAGTACCGGGCCCACAGCACACACTCCCCCAAAACTGTTTCTGTGCATGTGTGTGTGTGTATGTACAAACATTTTAAAAACTAGCATGACAGTAGCAATTACTCCTATTTATAACCCTCAAAATTATACTTGCACACAGTTTAAATGTGTTAAATGATGCTAAAAGGTTTGCTAGATGATGCTAAGAGGTTTGTTGCTAAAACTATCAGTCCACCGCCAATTTCCTCCTCCTCAACACTTTTAGCTGATTATTTTATTAACACCATAGAACTAAGTAGTATGATTGTACTGCTCCTTTTCAGTGTTCTGTTTTGGTGTCATCTGTTGACTTTCCCTATGCAGAATGAAGACGTGACCCGCTTTGCCCCGTCACCCCCACCCCCACACATATATCACCCGTACACACATACACCCCATTTCCCCAATATGGTTATATAATAATTTTTGGTTGGATCAATATTCAGCTTTTATCACTTCAATGATGTAAATATTATTTACAGCTGAGCTATATTTATTAATATACCATTAATTCTCCCTTCCTGCACAACTTTTTGTTTTCTCTGGGGGAATAATTATCTTGGGTTTTTTTCAACTTAGCTTCCCATGTACTCAATTCAAAACTACCTGCCAACTGCTTGACTCTACTCTCAGGAAGGTAAGGCATCACGCAGTCTGTCGATTTCATCTTCCTAAGAAAACCCTTCTACATCCTTCTCATCTGCTCACATCTGGACCGACCCTGTCTCGGTCCACAGCCCCACGTCACCAGGACTCTGGCAATCTGCCTCGTTTGACCTCCCGTTTCAAGAATCCCACATCTGTTCTCTTGGCTTGCTGCGTTTCGGTGAAGCAGATCTTCCAGCAGTTTCCTGGAAAGTAAATCTTCAGTGACTTTCATTCCTAAAAATGACTTTGAGGAGTTATTTCAAACTATTGAAATTTTGCCTGGGTAAGGAATTCTAAGTGGGTCGTACTACTCTCTCAGGATTCTGAAGGTCATCCTTCACCGACTTTTAGCTTCCAGTATACTGTTGCAATGTCTGATATTCAAATTCCAGGTTCTTTGATTTTGAACTTGTTTTTTCTCACTTTAATTTTCTCTCATTGTCCAGAAATGTCACAATAATACTGCATGGCTATGTATATTTTGATCTACCGTGCTGGAAATTCAGTGAGTCCTTTATAATTTGTAAATTTACGTCCATGAGTTCTGAGAAAATTTTTAAAAATATTTTATTTACTTATTTCTAGAGAGAGGGGAAGGAAGGGAGAATGAGAAGGAGAGAAACATAGATGGGACATCAACTGTTTGCCTCTCCCATGGCCCCTACTGGGGACCTGGCCCACAAACCAGGCATGTGACCTGACTGGGAATCGAACCAATGACCTTTTGGTTTGCAGGCTGGTGCTCAACCCAGTAAAGCCACACCAGCCAGGGCAAGAAACTGTTTTGAATAATTTTGCTGGTGGTTCCTCCCCTCCGTTTTCTCCATTTTCTCCTTTGTCCATTATTTGGATAATGGAGCTCCTAACTTGGTTTTCCAATTCTATCTCTCCCAGTTTTGCTCTACTTTCCAAGAAATTTCTTCAATTCTGCTTTCTGATTCTACTATAAAATTGTTCATTTCTGCTTTTTAAATTATATTTTATCGATTATGCTATTGCAGTTGTCCTGATTTTTCTCTCTTTGCCCCCCCCTCCACCCAGTGCTCCCTACTCTCTCAAGCAATCCCCACACCAGTTCATGTCCATGGATCATCCATATAGGTTCTTTGGCTGCTCCATTTCCTGTACTGTACTTCATATCCCCATGGCTATTCTGTAACCACCTATTTGTACTTCTTAATGCCCTCACCTCTTCACCCATTCTTCCCCTCCCCACTCCACCAACCACCTGTTGACTAACTTTTCTCTTGCTGCTTTTAAAAGTTGCTCTATATCTTTAACCTTTGGTCTTTTCATTATTATATGTCTTGGAATGAGCCTCTTTGCATCCATCTTGTTTAGGACTCTCTGTGCTTCCTGGACTTGCATGTCTATTACCTTCACCAAAAAAAGGAAATTTTCTTTCACTATATTTCCAGATAGATTTCCAATTTCTTGCTCTTTCTCTTCTCCTT